CAGACATGCAGTGCGTGTGTGTGTGTTTGATTCGTGTATTGTTTTGTGGGTGTGTGTGCTTGTGGTGTCCAGTCGAATGAGAATGTGTGCATTTCTCGCATTTGCCCACACAATATTAACCAAATGTTCAATGTGAACTGTTTGTTTGCATACACACATTAGGTATCCCATCGGATCACACAACCGAGTCATCATCCACTTCGCAAACCACTACGCACATTCCGTCCGAAGTGTCCAGTCAACCACCTGAATCGACAACATCAACTACTACTCCAACTCAACCACACACCGATTCATCAATGGTCACTAGTGAGTTCAATGCATAATTTGTTTGTTGTATTGCATGATGTATTAGTGGTGTGATTTCACACTAGTGCAATGTTCATCATCATCATGATCATCATCATTCAACTACTAGTTGATTTAGTCTATGGTGAGAATTTGTGTAGACGAGATGTGTGCATGCATTGTGCGTGATGGTCGGTGTGGCTAACATGCATAATAAATGAGAGTGAGTGAGTGAGTGAGTGAGTGAGTGAGTGAAGAGGTTGTGAGAAATTGTGGCTAATATTTGTGAATGGAGATTTCGGTTATAAATTGGTTGAGTGAAATAGTGAGTAAGTGAGTGAGATAGTGGTAATCATTGGGACGACATGTGTTGTGTGTACAAGTGGATTGGTTGTTTGTTCATGGTTGAAGATGATGGGTAGATGAAGTGAGATATAGAGTTGTTGATGGTGATTTGACTAGTCTGTGTCATATCAACACACCACGTCTCAACACTCACCTCATTACAGTACTCACTTGTTGTGTAGGTGAACACGAACATCTGAACTCACTCGCATGTGAGCATGAGTTCTCATTGAAATCTTATGTATCAGACGAATCACAAACGAGTGATTCATTGAAATGTATGCATTGAGATAGGTGTTCGTCACAGAGTGATGTGGTGTGGTATGGTGCTGACAAACACGTGTTGTGTGCATGCAGAATTGTAGGAGGAAATGACAGACATGCAGTGCGTGTGTGTGTGTTTGATTCGTGTATTGTTTTGTGGGTGTGTGTGCTTGTGGTGTCCAGTCGAATGAGAATGTGTGCATTTCTCGCATTTGCTCACACAATATTAACCAAATGTTCAATGTGAACTGTTTGTTTGCATACACACATTAGGTATCCCATCGGATCACACAACCGAGTCATCATCCACTTCGCAAACCACTACGCACATTCCGTCCGAAGTGTCCAGTCAACCACCTGAATCGACAACATCAACTACTACTCCAACTCAACCACACACCGATTCATCAATGGTCACTAGTGAGTTCAATGCATAATTTGTTTGTTGTATTGCATGATGTATTAGTGGTGTGATTTCACACTAGTGCAATGTTCATCATCATCATGATCATCATCATTCAACTACTAGTTGATTTAGTCTATGGTGAGAATTTGTGTAGACGAGATGTGTGCATGCATTGTGCGTGATGGTCGGTGTGGCTAACATGCATAATAAATGAGAGTGAGTGAGTGAGTGAGTGAGTGAGTGAAGAGGTTGTGAGAAATTGTGGCTAATATTTGTGAATGGAGATTTCGGTTATAAATTGGTTGAGTGAAATAGTGAGTAAGTGAGTGAGTGAGTGAGTGAGTGAGATAGTGGTAATCATTGGGACGACATGTGTTGTGTGTACAAGTGGATTGGTTGTTTGTTCATGGTTGAAGATGATGGGTAGATGAAGTGAGATATAGAGTTGTTGATGGTGATTTGACTAGTCTGTGTCATATCAACACACCACGTCTCAACACTCACCTCATTACAGTACTCACTTGTTGTGTAGGTGAACACGAACATCTGAACTCACTCGCATGTGAGCATGAGTTCTCATTGAAATCTTATGTATCAGACGAATCACAAACGAGTGATTCATTGAAATGTATGCATTGAGATAGGTGTTCGTCACAGAGTGATGTGGTGTGGTATGGTGCTGACAAACACGTGTTGTGTGCATGCAGAATTGTAGGAGGAAATGACAGACATGCAGTGCGTGTGTGTGTGTTTGATTCGTGTATTGTTTTGTGGGTGTGTGTGCTTGTGGTGTCCAGTCGAATGAGAATGTGTGCATTTCTCGCATTTGCCCACACAATATTAACCAAATGTTCAATGTGAACTGTTTGTTTGCATACACACATTAGGTATCCCATCGGATCACACAACCGAGTCATCATCCACTTCGCAAACCACTACGCACATTCCGTCCGAAGTGTCCAGTCAACCACCTGAATCGACAACATCAACTACTACTCCAACTCAACCACACACCGATTCATCAATGGTCACTAGTGAGTTCAATGCATAATTTGTTTGTTGTATTGCATGATGTATTAGTGGTGTGATTTCACACTAGTGCAATGTTCATCATCATCATGATCATCATCATTCAACTACTAGTTGATTTAGTCTATGGTGAGAATTTGTGTAGACGAGATGTGTGCATGCATTGTGCGTGATGGTCGGTGTGGCTAACATGCATAATAAATGAGAGTGAGTGAGTGAGTGAGTGAGTGAGTGAAGAGGTTGTGAGAAATTGTGGCTAATATTTGTGAATGGAGATTTCGGTTATAAATTGGTTGAGTGAAATAGTGAGTAAGTGAGTGAGTGAGTGAGTGAGTGAGATAGTGGTAATCATTGGGACGACATGTGTTGTGTGTACAAGTGGATTGGTTGTTTGTTCATGGTTGAAGATGATGGGTAGATGAAGTGAGATATAGAGTTGTTGATGGTGATTTGACTAGTCTGTGTCATATCAACACACCACGTCTCAACACTCACCTCATTACAGTACTCACTTGTTGTGTAGGTGAACACGAACATCTGAACTCACTCGCATGTGAGCATGAGTTCTCATTGAAATCTTATGTATCAGACGAATCACAAACGAGTGATTCATTGAAATGTATGCATTGAGATAGGTGTTCGTCACAGAGTGATGTGGTGTGGTATGGTGCTGACAAACACGTGTTGTGTGCATGCAGAATTGTAGGAGGAAATGACAGACATGCAGTGCGTGTGTGTGTGTTTGATTCGTGTATTGTTTTGTGGGTGTGTGTGCTTGTGGTGTCCAGTCGAATGAGAATGTGTGCATTTCTCGCATTTGCTCACACAATATTAACCAAATGTTCAATGTGAACTGTTTGTTTGCATACACACATTAGGTATCCCATCGGATCACACAACCGAGTCATCATCCACTTCGCAAACCACTACGCACATTCCGTCCGAAGTGTCCAGTCAACCACCTGAATCGACAACATCAACTACTACTCCAACTCAACCACACACCGATTCATCAATGGTCACTAGTGAGTTCAATGCATAATTTGTTTGTTGTATTGCATGATGTATTAGTGGTGTGATTTCACACTAGTGCAATGTTCATCATCATCATGATCATCATCATTCAACTACTAGTTGATTTAGTCTATGGTGAGAATTTGTGTAGACGAGATGTGTGCATGCATTGTGCGTGATGGTCGGTGTGGCTAACATGCATAATAAATGAGAGTGAGTGAGTGAGTGAGTGAGTGAGTGAGTGAGTGAAGAGGTTGTGAGAAATTGTGGCTAATATTTGTGAATGGAGATTTCGGTTATAAATTGGTTGAGTGAAATAGTGAGTAAGTGAGTGAGTGAGTGAGTGAGATAGTGGTAATCATTGGGACGACATGTGTTGTGTGTACAAGTGGATTGGTTGTTTGTTCATGGTTGAAGATGATGGGTAGATGAAGTGAGATATAGAGTTGTTGATGGTGATTTGACTAGTCTGTGTCATATCAACACACCACGTCTCAACACTCACCTCATTACAGTACTCACTTGTTGTGTAGGTGAACACGAACATCTGAACTCACTCGCATGTGAGCATGAGTTCTCATTGAAATCTTATGTATCAGACGAATCACAAACGAGTGATTCATTGAAATGTATGCATTGAGATAGGTGTTCGTCACAGAGTGATGTGGTGTGGTATGGTGCTGACAAACACGTGTTGTGTGCATGCAGAATTGTAGGAGGAAATGACAGACATGCAGTGCGTGTGTGTGTGTTTGATTCGTGTATTGTTTTGTGGGTGTGTGTGCTTGTGGTGTCCAGTCGAATGAGAATGTGTGCATTTCTCGCATTTGCCCACACAATATTAACCAAATGTTCAATGTGAACTGTTTGTTTGCATACACACATTAGGTATCCCATCGGATCACACAACCGAGTCATCATCCACTTCGCAAACCACTACGCACATTCCGTCCGAAGTGTCCAGTCAACCACCTGAATCGACAACATCAACTACTACTCCAACTCAACCACACACCGATTCATCAATGGTCACTAGTGAGTTCAATGCATAATTTGTTTGTTGTATTGCATGATGTATTAGTGGTGTGATTTCACACTAGTGCAATGTTCATCATCATCATGATCATCATCATTCAACTACTAGTTGATTTAGTCTATGGTGAGAATTTGTGTAGACGAGATGTGTGCATGCATTGTGCGTGATGGTCGGTGTGGCTAACATGCATAATAAATGAGAGTGAGTGAGTGAGTGAGTGAGTGAGTGAGTGAGTGAAGAGGTTGTGAGAAATTGTGGCTAATATTTGTGAATGGAGATTTCGGTTATAAATTGGTTGAGTGAAGTAGTGTGTAAGTGTGTGTGTTCACGTTTGTATTCAATTGGATGACAGTCTACTCAAGCGAATGCATTTAGAAAAATCGCTTTATTTAGTGTATTCCTCAGGAGCAAAATATTTTTATTTGATTTTATTCAACCGTTGCTGCATTGTCACAATTTACATCCGACAGTCTTCGAAACGTCATAGTATGTAGGTTGAATTCAATCATGAAGCTGTATTTAAATAAATACAAGTTCACTGAATTCGGACAATCACACATTTTGCCACATAATTTATAGGAATTCATTCTACATTTCAAAAGGTATAAGCAATTCCATATGAGCATCATTTTCGAAAAAAGTGGAACAAAAACACACTTTGAGATTGAAATGCATACATTCATATTCTGTAAAATATTTTTTAGAGATATGCGAAGTTGAAATAATTTGAACAAGCTTCTATCACTGTTATGATTTACCATACCTTCGACATTTGTTTTGATTTTACAACATAAAAAAAGCATCAGATAAGTGACAGATATGGTAAGCTGTAATCATTTTGAACACGCTACTATCACCACTGATAATTTGTTACTTGTAGTTAGATTTAGACAATAACAAACAATCCCAAACAGTTGGTTAATTCTATACTCTAATTTCTGTTTAAAAGACACATCTGCAACAGTTCCACAAGTGAACACAACTACTTCATTTGACACTTCACTAACGTCATCAACTGGACAAACACAAACATTCACTACTGATCGCACACCGGCAACATTCACGAGCACTCCATCCACATCCATATCAACACCAACAACACTCACTGATAATCAAACTTCACTGACATCCACATCTTCCAGCAAACTGACAGAATCCGTGAGGACAACATCGGTTCCAACTAACATCACAACATCAAGTACTGTAGCAACAAGTGAGTAAACCTATTTATTGTTTTGTAGACCACACAATAACTGTGTTTGTATTAGTTATATAAATCAGCCAAATTGTCAGATCTTTCTATATGCTGGTTACTTGTGGCTTCTGAGAATAAAGTATGACCGGTCGTCGAGCGTCGACTGACACTCAGATTACTTTCTGTTTAATAAGTGATTTCTTTTCTATTATGGATTTGTGCTCGGAAGTCACTGAATGTAGACTATTTGTGGTTGATTTGAATAAAGAAAGCATTTGCTAGACAATATTCTGGTTTCCTGTATTTGGTCGCGATTCCTATATCTAGTATAATGTGATCCCAGTCTGTCTATAGTGTATCGACTAAGCATGTTAGTCTATTGGCCAAACAGTCTAAACACAGGTTTCGTTATCATAGTAGAGTAGTATATACCATGGTAAAAGAAGATATCTATACTCTGCTGTTATATCAGCTGATATGCACGTTGTTTTCCATAATGAAGTAAAGTGTTAAAGCGAGTTTATTTTCGGACGTCTTTACAATATGGTGAAGAATTGTCTTATAATGTAGCTAGTTAAACAAACCGACTGAATGAAAACGCACCCATCTGTTGGTGAACTCGTAATGAATACCAATATTCAATGGAATGAGTTTTTCTGTATTTTCACGTCTCTTACTGTTACAGTGTATGTTCCGATTACTTCGAATTGTCTTACTCAAATCAATGAAACATTTTATTGACTTTTGACCAACCATTTCACAGCGTTTTGAATGATTGGCGTTTTTTATCATGATTTGATGATATCACTCAATAGATATAGACGGCATAAACCAAAGTGATGTTTTAGAGGCCTAACAGATGTCATACAGTATAGGTAGATTGTTCGTGGAGGTTGGTAAGTGTTACTGATATTGTGAATTGACCTGAATCAGAGAACAATTGAAAAGTAGGTGGAAACGGACAGCTGTTTTGTTGCTAGAATTCTAGTATGTTGAGATCAATGGAGTTGAGTCGTGTCGAGTGCGTTGTGATTGTGAAACTAAGATCATGGAAGATAATGGTTGCGTAATATCTGTAATCGACCGAAGTTGGAAACGTAAAACGGTTCATCAATGATCCAAATGTGAAATGCTCGTTTCAAGAATAGAAGGTCTTGGATCCGAACGTCGATGAACTCGTGGATGTTTGCTGTTGGAGAGCCGCATACTATGACAAAACTGTTGTCCAGTGCTTCCTGGTTCTCACTAGTTGTCTGACAAAGATTGCTTTGCCGTCACAATATAAATCTCACAGTCAACGAAACTTCATACCATGTAGATTGAATTCAACCATATACCACTATTTAAATATATACAAGTTTATCGAAGTCTGAGAACCACAAAGTGTGCTACATAAATTATAGGAATTCGGCAATTCCATATGAGGATCAGTTTCGAAAAGAAACAACAAATACTCACTTCATGATTTAAGAGCATACATTATTGTTCGGTAACAGATAAGTGACAGATATGGTAAGCTGTAATCATTTTGAACACGCTACTATCACCACTGATAATTTGTTACTTGTAGTTAGATTTAGACAATAACAAACAATCCCAAACAGTTGGTTAATTCTATACTCTAATTTCTGTTTAAAAGACACATCTGCAACAGTTCCACAAGTGAACACAACTACTTCATTTGACACTTCACTAACGTCATCAACTGGACAAACACAAACATTCACTACTGATCGCACACCGGCAACATTCACGAGCACTCCATCCACATCCATATCAACACCAACAACACTCACTGATAATCAAACTTCACTGACATCCACATCTTCCAGCAAACTGACAGAATCCGTGAGGACAACATCGGTTCCAACTAACATCACAACATCAAGTACTGTAGCAACAAGTGAGTAAACCTATTTATTGTTTTGTAGACCACACAATAACTGTGTTTGTATTAGTTATATAAATCAGCCAAATTGTCAGATCTTTCTATATGCTGGTTACTTGTGGCTTCTGAGAATAAAGTATGACCGGTCGTCGAGCGTCGACTGACACTCAGATTACTTTCTGTTTAATAAGTGATTTCTTTTCTATTATGGATTTGTGCTCGGAAGTCACTGAATGTAGACTATTTGTGGTTGATTTGAATAAAGAAAGCATTTGCTAGACAATATTCTGGTTTCCTGTATTTGGTCGCGATTCCTATATCTAGTATAATGTGATCCCAGTCTGTCTATAGTGTATCGACTAAGCATGTTAGTCTATTGGCCAAACAGTCTAAACACAGGTTTCGTTATCATAGTAGAGTAGTATATACCATGGTAAAAGAAGATATCTATACTCTGCTGTTATATCAGCTGATATGCACGTTGTTTTCCATAATGAAGTAAAGTGTTAAAGCGAGTTTATTTTCGGACGTCTTTACAATATGGTGAAGAATTGTCTTATAATGTAGCTAGTTAAACAAACCGACTGAATGAAAACGCACCCATCTGTTGGTGAACTCGTAATGAATACCAATATTCAATGGAATGAGTTTTTCTGTATTTTCACGTCTCTTACTGTTACAGTGTATGTTCCGATTACTTCGAATTGTCTTACTCAAATCAATGAAACATTTTATTGACTTTTGACCAACCATTTCACAGCGTTTTGAATGATTGGCGTTTTTTATCATGATTTGATGATATCACTCAATAGATATAGACGGCATAAACCAAAGTGATGTTTTAGAGGCCTAACAGATGTCATACAGTATAGGTAGATTGTTCGTGGAGGTTGGTAAGTGTTACTGATATTGTGAATTGACCTGAATCAGAGAACAATTGAAAAGTAGGTGGAAACGGACAGCTGTTTTGTTGCTAGAATTCTAGTATGTTGAGATCAATGGAGTTGAGTCGTGTCGAGTGCGTTGTGATTGTGAAACTAAGATCATGGAAGATAATGGTTGCGTAATATCTGTAATCGACCGAAGTTGGAAACGTAAAACGGTTCATCAATGATCCAAATGTGAAATGCTCGTTTCAAGAATAGAAGGTCTTGGATCCGAACGTCGATGAACTCGTGGATGTTTGCTGTTGGAGAGCCGCATACTATGACAAAACTGTTGTCCAGTGCTTCCTGGTTCTCACTAGTTGTCTGACAAAGATTGCTTTGCCGTCACAATATAAATCTCACAGTCAACGAAACTTCATACCATGTAGATTGAATTCAACCATATACCACTATTTAAATATATACAAGTTTATCGAAGTCTGAGAACCACAAAGTGTGCTACATAAATTATAGGAATTCGGCAATTCCATATGAGGATCAGTTTCGAAAAGAAACAACAAATACTCACTTCATGATTTAAGAGCATACATTATTGTTCGGTAACAGATAAGTGACAGATATGGTAAGCTGTAATCATTTTGAACACGCTACTATCACCACTGATAATTTGTTACTTGTAGTTAGATTTAGACAATAACAAACAATCCCAAACAGTTGGTTAATTCTATACTCTAATTTCTGTTTAAAAGACACATCTGCAACAGTTCCACAAGTGAACACAACTACTTCATTTGACACTTCACTAACGTCATCAACTGGACAAACACAAACATTCACTACTGATCGCACACCGGCAACATTCACGAGCACTCCATCCACATCCATATCAACACCAACAACACTCACTGATAATCAAACTTCACTGACATCCACATCTTCCAGCAAACTGACAGAATCCGTGAGGACAACATCGGTTCCAACTAACATCACAACATCAAGTACTGTAGCAACAAGTGAGTAAACCTATTTATTGTTTTGTAGACCACACAATAACTGTGTTTGTATTAGTTATATAAATCAGCCAAATTGTCAGATCTTTCTATATGCTGGTTACTTGTGGCTTCTGAGAATAAAGTATGACCGGTCGTCGAGCGTCGACTGACACTCAGATTACTTTCTGTTTAATAAGTGATTTCTTTTCTATTATGGATTTGTGCTCGGAAGTCACTGAATGTAGACTATTTGTGGTTGATTTGAATAAAGAAAGCATTTGCTAGACAATATTCTGGTTTCCTGTATTTGGTCGCGATTCCTATATCTAGTATAATGTGATCCCAGTCTGTCTATAGTGTATCGACTAAGCATGTTAGTCTATTGGCCAAACAGTCTAAACACAGGTTTCGTTATCATAGTAGAGTAGTATATACCATGGTAAAAGAAGATATCTATACTCTGCTGTTATATCAGCTGATATGCACGTTGTTTTCCATAATGAAGTAAAGTGTTAAAGCGAGTTTATTTTCGGACGTCTTTACAATATGGTGAAGAATTGTCTTATAATGTAGCTAGTTAAACAAACCGACTGAATGAAAACGCACCCATCTGTTGGTGAACTCGTAATGAATACCAATATTCAATGGAATGAGTTTTTCTGTATTTTCACGTCTCTTACTGTTACAGTGTATGTTCCGATTACTTCGAATTGTCTTACTCAAATCAATGAAACATTTTATTGACTTTTGACCAACCATTTCACAGCGTTTTGAATGATTGGCGTTTTTTATCATGATTTGATGATATCACTCAATAGATATAGACGGCATAAACCAAAGTGATGTTTTAGAGGCCTAACAGATGTCATACAGTATAGGTAGATTGTTCGTGGAGGTTGGTGAGTGTTACTGATATTGTGAATTGACCTGAATCAGAGAACAATTGAAAAGTAGGTGGAAACGGACAGCTGTTTTGTTGCTAGAATTCTAGTATGTTGAGATCAATGGAGTTGAGTCGTGTCGAGTGCGTTGTGATTGTGAAACTAAGATCATGGAAGATAATGGTTGCGTAATATCTGTAATCGACCGAAGTTGGAAACGTAAAACGGTTCATCAATGATCCAAATGTGAAATGCTCGTTTCAAGAATAGAAGGTCTTGGATCCGAACGTCGATGAACTCGTGGATGTTTGCTGTTGGAGAGCCGCATACTATGACAAAACTGTTGTCCAGTGCTTCCTGGTTCTCACTAGTTGTCTGACAAAGATTGCTTTGCCGTCACAATATAAATCTCACAGTCAACGAAACTTCATACCATGTAGATTGAATTCAACCATATACCACTATTTAAATATATACAAGTTTATCGAAGTCTGAGAACCACAAAGTGTGCTACATAAATTATAGGAATTCGGCAATTCCATATGAGGATCAGTTTCGAAAAGAAACAACAAATACTCACTTCATGATTTAAGAGCATACATTATTGTTCGGTAACAGATAAGTGACAGATATGGTAAGCTGTAATCATTTTGAACACGCTACTATCACCACTGATAATTTGTTACTTGTAGTTAGATTTAGACAATAACAAACAATCCCAAACAGTTGGTTAATTCTATACTCTAATTTCTGTTTAAAAGACACATCTGCAACAGTTCCACAAGTGAACACAACTACTTCATTTGACACTTCACTAACGTCATCAACTGGACAAACACAAACATTCACTACTGATCGCACACCGGCAACATTCACGAGCACTCCATCCACATCCATATCAACACCAACAACACTCACTGATAATCAAACTTCACTGACATCCACATCTTCCAGCAAACTGACAGAATCCGTGAGGACAACATCGGTTCCAACTAACATCACAACATCAAGTACTGTAGCAACAAGTGAGTAAACCTATTTATTGTTTTGTAGACCACACAATAACTGTGTTTGTATTAGTTATATAAATCAGCCAAATTGTCAGATCTTTCTATATGCTGGTTACTTGTGGCTTCTGAGAATAAAGTATGACCGGTCGTCGAGCGTCGACTGACACTCAGATTACTTTCTGTTTAATAAGTGATTTCTTTTCTATTATGGATTTGTGCTCGGAAGTCACTGAATGTAGACTATTTGTGGTTGATTTGAATAAAGAAAGCATTTGCTAGACAATATTCTGGTTTCCTGTATTTGGTCGCGATTCCTATATCTAGTATAATGTGATCCCAGTCTGTCTATAGTGTATCGACTAAGCATGTTAGTCTATTGGCCAAACAGTCTGAACACAGGTTTCGTTATCATAGTAGAGTAGTATATACCATGGTAAAAGAAGATATCTATACTCTGCTGTTATATCAGCTGATATGCACGTTGTTTTCCATAATGAAGTAAAGTGTTAAAGCGAGTTTATTTTCGGACGTCTTTACAATATGGTGAAGAATTGTCTTATAATGTAGCTAGTTAAACAAACCGACTGAATGAAAACGCACCCATCTGTTGGTGAACTCGTAATGAATACCAATATTCAATGGAATGAGTTTTTCTGTATTTTCACGTCTCTTACTGTTACAGTGTATGTTCCGATTACTTCGAATTGTCTTACTCAAATCAATGAAACATTTTATTGACTTTTGACCAACCATTTCACAGCGTTTTGAATGATTGGCGTTTTTTATCATGATTTGATGATATCACTCAATAGATATAGACGGCATAAACCAAAGTGATGTTTTAGAGGCCTAACAGATGTCATACAGTATAGGTAGATTGTTCGTGGAGGTTGGTAAGTGTTACTGATATTGTGAATTGACCTGAATCAGAGAACAATTGAAAAGTAGGTGGAAACGGACAGCTGTTTTGTTGCTAGAATTCTAGTATGTTGAGATCAATGGAGTTGAGTCGTGTCGAGTGCGTTGTGATTGTGAAACTAAGATCATGGAAGATAATGGTTGCGTAATATCTGTAATCGACCGAAGTTGGAAACGTAAAACGGTTCATCAATGATCCAAATGTGAAATGCTCGTTTCAAGAATAGAAGGTCTTGGATCCGAACGTCGATGAACTCGTGGATGTTTGCTGTTGGAGAGCCGCATACTATGACAAAACTGTTGTCCAGTGCTTCCTGGTTCTCACTAGTTGTCTGACAAAGATTGCTTTGCCGTCACAATATAAATCTCACAGTCAACGAAACTTCATACCATGTAGATTGAATTCAACCATATACCACTATTTAAATATATACAAGTTTATCGAAGTCTGAGAACCACAAAGTGTGCTACATAAATTATAGGAATTCGGCAATTCCATATGAGGATCAGTTTCGAAAAGAAACAACAAATACTCACTTCATGATTTAAGAGCATACATTATTGTTCGGTAACAGATAAGTGACAGATATGGTAAGCTGTAATCATTTTGAACACGCTACTATCACCACTGATAATTTGTTACTTGTAGTTAGATTTAGACAATAACAAACAATCCCAAACAGTTGGTTAATTCTATACTCTAATTTCTGTTTAAAAGACACATCTGCAACAGTTCCACAAGTGAACACAACTACTTCATTTGACACTTCACTAACGTCATCAACTGGACAAACACAAACATTCACTACTGATCGCACACCGGCAACATTCACGAGCACTCCATCCACATCCATATCAACACCAACAACACTCACTGATAATCAAACTTCACTGACATCCACATCTTCCAGCAAACTGACAGAATCCGTGAGGACAACATCGGTTCCAACTAACATCACAACATCAAGTACTGTAGCAACAAGTGAGTAAACCTATTTATTGTTTTGTAGACCACACAATAACTGTGTTTGTATTAGTTATATAAATCAGCCAAATTGTCAGATCTTTCTATATGCTGGTTACTTGTGGCTTCTGAGAATAAAGTATGACCGGTCGTCGAGCGTCGACTGACACTCAGATTACTTTCTGTTTAATAAGTGATTTCTTTTCTATTATGGATTTGTGCTCGGAAGTCACTGAATGTAGACTATTTGTGGTTGATTTGAATAAAGAAAGCATTTGCTAGACAATATTCTGGTTTCCTGTATTTGGTCGCGATTCCTATATCTAGTATAATGTGATCCCAGTCTGTCTATAGTGTATCGACTAAGCATGTTAGTCTATTGGCCAAACAGTCTGAACACAGGTTTCGTTATCATAGTAGAGTAGTATATACCATGGTAAAAGAAGATATCTATACTCTGCTGTTATATCAGCTGATATGCACGTTGTTTTCCATAATGAAGTAAAGTGTTAAAGCGAGTTTATTTTCGGACGTCTTTACAATATGGTGAAGAATTGTCTTATAATGTAGCTAGTTAAACAAACCGACTGAATGAAAACGCACCCATCTGTTGGTGAACTCGTAATGAATACCAATATTCAATGGAATGAGTTTTTCTGTATTTTCACGTCTCTTACTGTTACAGTGTATGTTCCGATTACTTCGAATTGTCTTACTCAAATCAATGAAACATTTTATTGACTTTTGACCAACCATTTCACAGCGTTTTGAATGATTGGCGTTTTTTATCATGATTTGATGATATCACTCAATAGATATAGACGGCATAAACCAAAGTGATGTTTTAGAGGCCTAACAGATGTCATACAGTATAGGTAGATTGTTCGTGGAGGTTGGTAAGTGTTACTGATATTGTGAATTGACCTGAATCAGAGAACAATTGAAAAGTAGGTGGAAACGGACAGCTGTTTTGTTGCTAGAATTCTAGTATGTTGAGATCAATGGAGTTGAGTCGTGTCGAGTGCGTTGTGATTGTGAAACTAAGATCATGGAAGATAATGGTTGCGTAATATCTGTAATCGACCGAAGTTGGAAACGTAAAACGGTTCATCAATGATCCAAATGTGAAATGCTCGTTTCAAGAATAGAAGGTCTTGGATCCGAACGTCGATGAACTCGTGGATGTTTGCTGTTGGAGAGCCGCATACTATGACAAAACTGTTGTCCAGTGCTTCCTGGTTCTCACTAGTTGTCTGACAAAGATTGCTTTGCCGTCACAATATAAATCTCACAGTCAACGAAACTTCATACCATGTAGATTGAATTCAACCATATACCACTATTTAAATATATACAAGTTTATCGAAGTCTGAGAACCACAAAGTGTGCTACATAAATTATAGGAATTCGGCAATTCCATATGAGGATCAGTTTCGAAAAGAAACAACAAATACTCACTTCATGATTTAAGAGCATACATTATTGTTCGGTAACAGATAAGTGACAGATATGGTAAGCTGTAATCATTTTGAACACGCTACTATCACCACTGATAATTTGTTACTTGTAGTTAGATTTAGACAATAACAAACAATCCCAAACAGTTGGTTAATTCTATACTCTAATTTCTGTTTAAAAGACACATCTGCAACAGTTCCACAAGTGAACACAACTACTTCATTTGACACTTCACTAACGTCATCAACTGGACAAACACAAACATTCACTACTGATCGCACACCGGCAACATTCACGAGCACTCCATCCACATCCATATCAACACCAACAACACTCACTGATAATCAAACTTCACTGACATCCACATCTTCCAGCAAACTGACAGAATCCGTGAGGACAACATCGGTTCCAACTAACATCACAACATCAAGTACTGTAGCAACAAGTGAGTAAACCTATTTATTGTTTTGTAGACCACACAATAACTGTGTTTGTATTAGTTATATAAATCAGCCAAATTGTCAGATCTTTCTATATGCTGGTTACTTGTGGCTTCTGAGAATAAAGTATGACCGGTCGTCGAGCGTCGACTGACACTCAGATTACTTTCTGTTTAATAAGTGATTTCTTTTCTATTATGGATTTGTGCTCGGAAGTCACTGAATGTAGACTATTTGTGGTTGATTTGAATAAAGAAAGCATTTGCTAGACAATATTCTGGTTTCCTGTATTTGGTCGCGATTCCTATATCTAGTATAATGTGATCCCAGTCTGTCTATAGTGTATCGACTAAGCATGTTAGTCTATTGGCCAAACAGTCTAAACACAGGTTTCGTTATCATAGTAGAGTAGTATATACCATGGTAAAAGAAGATATCTATACTCTGCTGTTATATCAGCTGATATGCACGTTGTTTTCCATAATGAAGTAAAGTGTTAAAGCGAGTTTATTTTCGGACGTCTTTACAATATGGTGAAGAATTGTCTTATAATGTAGCTAGTTAAACAAACCGACTGAATGAAAACGCACCCATCTGTTGGTGAACTCGTAATGAATACCAATATTCAATGGAATGAGTTTTTCTGTATTTTCACGTCTCTTACTGTTACAGTGTATGTTCCGATTACTTCGAATTGTCTTACTCAAATCAATGAAACATTTTATTGACTTTTGACCAACCATTTCACAGCGTTTTGAATGATTGGCGTTTTTTATCATGATTTGATGATATCACTCAATAGATATAGACGGCATAAACCAAAGTGATGTTTTAGAGGCCTAACAGATGTCATACAGTATAGGTAGATTGTTCGTGGAGGTTGGTAAGTGTTACTGATATTGTGAATTGACCTGAATCAGAGAACAATTGAAAAGTAGGTTGAAACGGACAGCTGTTTTGTTGCTAGAATTCTAGTATGTTGAGATCAATGGAGTTGAGTCGTGTCGAGTGCGTTGTGATTGTGAAACTAAGATCATGGAAGATAATGGTTGCGTAATATCTGTAATCGACCGAAGTTGGAAACGTAAAACGGTTCATCAATGATCCAAATGTGAAATGCTCGTTTCAAGAATAGAAGGTCTTGGATCCGAACGTCGATGAACTCGTGGATGTTTGCTGTTGGAGAGCCGCATACTATGACAAAACTGTTGTCCAGTGCTTCCTGGTTCTCACTAGTTGTCTGACAAAGATTGCTTTGCCGTCACAATATAAATCTCACAGTCAACGAAACTTCATACCATGTAGATTGAATTCAACCATATACCACTATTTAAATATATACAAGTTTATCGAAGTCTGAGAACCACAAAGTGTGCTACATAAATTATAGGAATTCGGCAATTCCATATGAGGATCAGTTTCGAAAAGAAACAACAAATACTCACTTCATGATTTAAGAGCATACATTATTGTTCGGTAACAGATAAGTGACAGATATGGTAAGCTGTAATCATTTTGAACACGCTACTATCACCACTGATAATTTGTTACTTGTAGTTAGATTTAGACAATAACAAACAATCCCAAACAGTTGGTTAATTCTATACTCTAATTTCTGTTTAAAAGACACATCTGCAACAGTTCCACAAGTGAACACAACTACTTCATTTGACACTTCACTAACGTCATCAACTGGACAAACACAAACATTCACTACTGATCGCACACCGGCAACATTCACGAGCACTCCATCCACATCCATATCAACACCAACAACACTCACTGATAATCAAACTTCACTGACATCCACATCTTCCAGCAAACTGACAGAATCCGTGAGGACAACATCGGTTCCAACTAACATCACAACATCAAGTACTGTAGCAACAAGTGAGTAAACCTATTTATTGTTTTGTAGACCACACAATAACTGTGTTTGTATTAGTTATATAAATCAGCCAAATTGTCAGATCTTTCTATATGCTGGTTACTTGTGGCTTCTGAGAATAAAGTATGACCGGTCGTCGAGCGTCGACTGACACTCAGATTACTTTCTGTTTAATAAGTGATTTCTTTTCTATTATGGATTTGTGCTCGGAAGTCACTGAATGTAGACTATTTGTGGTTGATTTGAATAAAGAAAGCATTTGCTAGACAATATTCTGGTTTCCTGTATTTGGTCGCGATTCCTATATCTAGTATAATGTGATCCCAGTCTGTCTATAGTGTATCGACTAAGCATGTTAGTCTATTGGCCAAACAGTCTAAACACAGGTTTCGTTATCATAGTAGAGTAGTATATACCATGGTAAAAGAAGATATCTATACTCTGCTGTTATATCAGCTGATATGCACGTTGTTTTCCATAATGAAGTAAAGTGTTAAAGCGAGTTTATTTTCGGACGTCTTTACAATATGGTGAAGAATTGTCTTATAATGTAGCTAGTTAAACAAACCGACTGAATGAAAACGCACCCATCTGTTGGTGAACTCGTAATGAATACCAATATTCAATGGAATGAGTTTTTCTGTATTTTCACGTCTCTTACTGTTACAGTGTATGTTCCGATTACTTCGAATTGTCTTACTCAAATCAATGAAACATTTTATTGACTTTTGACCAACCATTTCACAGCGTTTTGAATGATTGGCGTTTTTTATCATGATTTGATGATATCACTCAATAGATATAGACGGCATAAACCAAAGTGATGTTTTAGAGGCCTAACAGATGTCATACAGTATAGGTAGATTGTTCGTGGAGGTTGGTAAGTGTTACTGATATTGTGAATTGACCTGAATCAGAGAACAATTGAAAAGTAGGTGGAAACGGACAGCTGTTTTGTTGCTAGAATTCTAGTATGTTGAGATCAATGGAGTTGAGTCGTGTCGAGTGCGTTGTGATTGTGAAACTAAGATCATGGAAGATAATGGTTGCGTAATATCTGTAATCGACCGAAGTTGGAAACGTAAAACGGTTCATCAATGATCCAAATGTGAAATGCTCGTTTCAAGAATAGAAGGTCTTGGATCCGAACGTCGATGAACTCGTGGATGTTTGCTGTTGGAGAGCCGCATACTATGACAAAACTGTTGTCCAGTGCTTCCTGGTTCTCACTAGTTGTCTGACAAAGATTGCTTTGCCGTCACAATATAAATCTCACAGTCAACGAAACTTCATACCATGTAGATTGAATTCAACCATATACCACTATTTAAATATATACAAGTTTATCGAAGTCTGAGAACCACAAAGTGTGCTACATAAATTATAGGAATTCGGCAATTCCATATGAGGATCAGTTTCGAAAAGAAACAACAAATACTCACTTCATGATTTAAGAGCATACATTATTGTTCGGTAACAGATAAGTGACAGATATGGTAAGCTGTAATCATTTTGAACACGCTACTATCACCACTGATAATTTGTTACTTGTAGTTAGATTTAGACAATAACAAACAATCCCAAACAGTTGGTTAATTCTATACTCTAATTTCTGTTTAAAAGACACATCTGCAACAGTTCCACAAGTGAACACAACTACTTCATTTGACACTTCACTAACGTCATCAACTGGACAAACACAAACATTCACTACTGATCGCACACCGGCAACATTCACGAGCACTCCATCCACATCCATATCAACACCAACAACACTCACTGATAATCAAACTTCACTGACATCCACATCTTCCAGCAAACTGACAGAATCCGTGAGGACAACATCGGTTCCAACTAACATCACAACATCAAGTACTGTAGCAACAAGTGAGTAAACCTATTTATTGTTTTGTAGACCACACAATAACTGTGTTTGTATTAGTTATATAAATCAGCCAAATTGTCAGATCTTTCTATATGCTGGTTACTTGTGGCTTCTGAGAATAAAGTATGACCGGTCGTCGAGCGTCGACTGACACTCAGATTACTTTCTGTTTAATAAGTGATTTCTTTTCTATTATGGATTTGTGCTCGGAAGTCACTGAATGTAGACTATTTGTGGTTGATTTGAATAAAGAAAGCATTTGCTAGACAATATTCTGGTTTCCTGTATTTGGTCGCGATTCCTATATCTAGTATAATGTGATCCCAGTCTGTCTATAGTGTATCGACTAAGCATGTTAGTCTATTGGCCAAACAGTCTAAACACAGGTTTCGTTATCATAGTAGAGTAGTATATACCATGGTAAAAGAAGATATCTATACTCTGCTGTTATATCAGCTGATATGCACGTTGTTTTCCATAATGAAGTAAAGTGTTAAAGCGAGTTTATTTTCGGACGTCTTTACAATATGGTGAAGAATTGTCTTATAATGTAGCTAGTTAAACAAACCGACTGAATGAAAACGCACCCATCTGTTGGTGAACTCGTAATGAATACCAATATTCAATGGAATGAGTTTTTCTGTATTTTCACGTCTCTTACTGTTACAGTGTATGTTCCGATTACTTCGAATTGTCTTACTCAAATCAATGAAACATTTTATTGACTTTTGACCAACCATTTCACAGCGTTTTGAATGATTGGCGTTTTTTATCATGATTTGATGATATCACTCAATAGATATAGACGGCATAAACCAAAGTGATGTTTTAGAGGCCTAACAGATGTCATACAGTATAGGTAGATTGTTCGTGGAGGTTGGTAAGTGTTACTGATATTGTGAATTGACCTGAATCAGAGAACAATTGAAAAGTAGGTGGAAACGGACAGCTGTTTTGTTGCTAGAATTCTAGTATGTTGAGATCAATGGAGTTGAGTCGTGTCGAGTGCGTTGTGATTGTGAAACTAAGATCATGGAAGATAATGGTTGCGTAATATCTGTAATCGACCGAAGTTGGAAACGTAAAACGGTTCATCAATGATCCAAATGTGAAATGCTCGTTTCAAGAATAGAAGGTCTTGGATCCGAACGTCGATGAACTCGTGGATGTTTGCTGTTGGAGAGCCGCATACTATGACAAAACTGTTGTCCAGTGCTTCCTGGTTCTCACTAGTTGTCTGACAAAGATTGCTTTGCCGTTACAAAATAATTCCTAATATCTGTGTTAGTTCGCTCTTTTTAGATCACATCCCTTTGTTATTTCTTGTTAGCTGACTTCTATTTACCACTTAATTTTTTTTTAAACTCTTCTCAAGTTTTTTTATCTGATCTCTTTCGGTTTGTTAACTCTTTTATTTCCTACATAATAACCACTTTAAGTGAGGAAACACAAATCCACTGGCTTTCAAGCTTAATTGAATACTCATCAAGTATGTCTGCTAAAATTATCTTCAAACTGTCCATCTCAACTTCAATTTTCGAAGTGTACAGAACTACTTAACAATGTCTATTTAACAATAGCACTGATCGCGTTCGTTTAGATATACTGAATCTTTTAATTAATTTGCTGAATCTGCTTTCTTCTTTTTAGAATCTCTTATGTTCACCTTTAGACAAAAAACGTTTTAATATTCATTGAATGAAAAAGATTATTAGTTATTTAAAGTGGATTTATGTTCATAAAATGACTTATCATAGGTGTACATTTCAAAAGGATGTGGATCACTAGAATTTTATTAATAACTGACTTATTTTATTTTCTGCAAACATAACATGTTTACAATTAGTTTGTTCATAGTTGAAAGCGTGAATCAACTGAAGCTAGACCACCTGGAAAAACCTGGAATCACTAAACAGCCCTTTCGTTCTTTTGTGGAACTCCTCAGCAGTGCGCATTCACGACCTCGCCTCGCGAGATTCAAAACCAGGACCTTCCAGCCCAGGTTTTCCTTGATTGTCTACCTTCAATTGACTAACGCTTTCAACTATGAAAATACTTAATCTCCACAAAACCCCTTCTGATAATAATTACTTTGCTGTTACTCTCTGTATAGGTGTCCTGTTCATCCCGTTACATAATCTGACCAGTATCAGTTTTTGTGTCATTTATAAGATGTTTATTGATTGTCAAATGATTTGACTGGAAATTTTTTTATAAATTTACAAATTTTAAATATCAACATTCTGAGTTTTCCTCAATTTCTATTTTCATTTCATAGATACAACAGGAACAGTTGCAGAAAATAGTACACTTAGTACCATCAAGGCTTCATTCACAACAAGTACATCTTCAATAGAGCTTAATACATCCACAACCATATCAGTATTAACGACTATAGTATCCACTGATAAATTAACTGAAAGAACATCTACATTCTCGAGTCAATCAACACAATCTATCACTGATTTAATTACAACAGCTTCGACTTTGACTACCACTGAAACAACAACCACTACAACAATCTATGTTGGTAGAGGTAAATTCTTACTTAATTTTATTCATAAAATGTCCTTTATATGTTAGTAGTAGTACAGTGATTGTGATATGACAGGTTAGAATTTGGTCTCACAATTAAGAATTAATTTTAAGGTAGAGTGAGAGAACTATAAAATCAATATTGTCATTTCATTCAATTGTGTGAGGGCTATGATACTGCCCGGGTGCCCAAACCAAAGCAGATGGTTTTCTTAGAGGTCCACACCCGGAGCCTTCAACCTAAAGGTCTGATCTACAAGGCAGTGGAGCAACGTCAGGAGATGCAGTCCCATGTTAGCTGGTGACCAATGATTGGTTCATACGCCATTTGTCCCTTCACGATCCTGGAGCCCATATGCAACTTTTGTTTGGATTCAGGGTTTCCCAACTCATCTAGGTAGACCCTACATATTCACCAATCCGGTTCAAGTGCCAGAAATTCGCTTTTTGTTCTCTCAATTCCATAAACAACAACCCCGCCACGAGAAAGCAATGAGTAGAATTTCCCTTGAAATGGCTGTATACACGTGTCCATGTGAGAGCATTTGGAGAGAGAGAGAGAAGACTCTCCCTGCCCTCGGCCATATCAGGGCATTTGAGAACATGTTATTTTACAATAAAAATTTTGTCTTCTGATTAGTGGCCTTGCTTCGCACGATTTAGCCGCCAGCGTCAATAATTCGTTTTGGAAGACATATGTCACCGAGCCACTTTGTATCATCAAATGGCCTTGACCATCTATTGATCAGCATTCTTTCCTTTTTATTGTATCTCTCGAAAGTCAGTTTGACAATCATATGTCATACTCCACAAGAGGTTGATCTCAGTTTGATACACGATACGGTTTGTGTAAATTTTTTTCTCTAAAGCTCCATAATTTTGTAAGATTGATTCTTCGTAAGGCTAGTGACAAACTTCTGGTCACCACAATGATTAACTGTTTCGAAATGTGTTTCAGTGTATTGGAATGAAATGGTAGATGTTACTATCCTTTAAATGGGTGTGCCTATTCTGTAAAAAGATTGTTAGAAATGATAAGTTGTAGTTTAATTTGATCTGTTGGGATCTCTGATGATCATCAGACTGAGCAAGCTAGTTTTAGAACAGATCATGTATACATTCATCATACATTCACACTCCACCATACCTATTGCAGATTAACAATCATTATATTTCTTGGTATGTGAATCACAAAATATAATCTCCATTTATGATAAAATATTTACTTTCTCGAGCAATACTTGATGAAAATGCATCTTAACCCCATAAGGTGACACGTCTGAAATTAGGCTGCATTCGTCACAGCGTAACCTCATTTGGGATACCATTAGTTCCCAAAAGATACTGGATAACTGCTTCATTCCAGTATTAAACTATTGAGTATTTGAACATCTGCCGTTGGCCATTGGTCCAGTGGTTTTAATGATCAAGCGTTCCCACTGTAGTGAACGATCTTCTACTGAAATACATTCTCTGCCTGACCATCGTTATATATTACTTATGTGGACATAAGTAACCCACACTAGATCACTGCATCATGAAGTCCCGTAATTAAATCCCTAGTTCGCTTGTGAGTGCGTACTACCAAGTAGTCCGATACAAGCAAGAAAGTACTGCTTAGTCTTTCCTGGTTTACAACTGTACCTTGAATGGAGTCAATTTATGAAGAGCGCTGTCTAAGAATTATGTTAATTTTTAAAACAATTCCCTCAAATAAACACAAGAAATTACTTAATCTTTATTTTTTTCAATAACGTTTTGTTTTAAATGCTTAGTATCTACAACATTTCAAGTCAAAGCAATAATATACGCTTTCAGTACTGGCAAGTATGTTACGTGGTCAAATGATTATGCTGATAAAACATCGAGTGCTTATAAAACCCTATCTACAAACTACTGTTCCTTGGTATGTGTCATCTTTTCACTTAAAATCTATCAATTCAGAAAGCGAATATTGTGTATAGTTTTTTTACAAATTACAACCATAATTGTGTCCATAATATACGAAATGCAAGACTCATGAATACATCATCTCACACACATATCGAAACAGAAGTTTAAGAGGTGTTAGATAGTTAGAGGTAGTCAACAAGACGCACTGCTAGTTGTTACTCAACACTTAGACATACTTATAATTTTGTGAGAAATGATCTTTCCCTTTGGACTGGGATTTTATCATCCATTATCACAGCCAGAAATGATATGTATACCCCCAAAATAACGTCTCCAACATTTATACTAGGTGACATCAGCTTCAATACTAATATGATAATTAGAAGGGCCCAAAACGGGTCTTCAATTGTTATAACATTTTTTAATCCTCTCTTCAAAATAAATCACTAACGTTTAGATTTAAATTCTGAGATGTTTCGACAAAATTTGTCAAATCTACCATGCTCATTATATATTACAAAATATTTATAAATTCACTTAGTATTGTTTATTTTAATCTTTCCATTGATGTTAAGGACTGCAACTGGTGAGTGAATATCAACTCTGAGATGCAGGTACATCCAGCTGATGAGTAACAAATAATATGAAACGTGTATCCTGGATTCCACTACCAGCCACTATCCCTCTTTGCTTACAATGCTTGCGAATTTAGGCTATATCGAGGCAATACACACAGTATGCACATATGTCAATAAGAGACTGACCAGTTGCAGTCCTAACACATCGATGGGAAGATTCAAACAAACAATACTAAGTGAATTTGAACTTCAACCCATTGCACAAGCAAGTAGCTATCAGAACTCAGTAGCTAAGTGGATAACGCGATGGCATTTGAAGCGAAAGGTACTGAGTTCGAGTCCCAGGGTAAACATCAACTCTGAGATGCAGGTACATCCGGCTGATGAGTCCCAAATAGGACGAAACGCGCTCCAACCTGGTTTCCACTGCTACCAACTATCCATCTTTGCTTACAAAATATTTATAGTTTTTTTCCTAATGATTTGCAATTAAATGATATTTTATGTAAATTGAATTACATTCTACATTCTCTTCAATACTATTTAAGCTATTACAGAGTATACTAACAGAAAATACCCGAATAACTCAAGGTGCAACATGTACATTAAATAGATTCATTCGAAGTACATTAAATTTACAATCTAAACGACAAATTCAAAATTCTAACAATAATACAACAACTGATGCTGTTCAAGGTGATGCACAAATTGAATTACAAACATTAGCTGGTTCACAATTGAATCAAGCACAATTTTCACAATTATTATTTAATGGTTATCAAAAGCTCAATTTATCAAGTGGAAATTATTTAAGTGGTATTGAATCAACACGTATGTAATATTTTTTGTTTAATTGTTTAAATGTTAACTTATATGTCAGTCAGTCAGTCACAACGTAGAACTTCATTTGTACGTACATCAGTTCGAGTTGCTATAACACATTAGCACTGAGATGTAGTTGTCGATTCAAATCCCATAGTGATAGAAGTAGTAAGAATATAAGCATTATGTGAAAGATTAGATGATCTGTCACTTTATAAATAACCCATGGTGTTAATACTAGAACGAGACGTTTATGAAGATTGTTGAATGTTATGGTTTTAATTATGTACTAACTTTAACACGGTAACTGTTGAAAGTAAAGATATATATTCATCAGTTATGTCATCTTAGCATGTGACTACTCAGTAATAAACCTAATTATCAGAATGGGGTTTTGTGGAAATTTTAGTAATTTTATATAGTTGATATGATGAGTCAATTGCAGCTAGACCACCATGGAAAACCTGGAAGGACTAGACGGCCGTCCGAAAAACTGAGAATTACTGCATTAGATAGATAAATAGAAGGGTGAAGATTTTTAATAGTGGTCGAGGTTACACTAGTGATTAATTTTAGCTAAAGTGATCAGATAATGATATTATCCAATGGTAGACAATAATAAGTCGGTTCGTTTATCAATTACTATACGTTTGTGTCAAAATTTGGTAGGTCCATTTTCTTCACAAAACAAAATTAACTTATCAAATAACAAATCTCTAGGTCACTGAACCGGCCAGTATCTAACGCTTTTAATGTCTAACTTCAACTAATCCATGAAATTGAGCGACACATCCACCATTGTCTTCAGTGAACTACTATCTCACAACTGACCCGATTGAACTCCACTGGTCACTGCTTATCACTAGAACTCCAGGAAATACCTTCTGAAGCAAGTCACTATGAGCCAGTCCGAATGAGTAGAAAAATTGTATTTCCGATGTTTTGTGACTTAATGTAGGCCACTCATGATCTCAACTATTGAAATCACTATAATATTTACAAAAGCTCCTTCTGATGTTAATCAATATATGCTCACTAGTGACTGACTTCAAGAGGAATTTCCTGGAGTTCTAGTAAGAAGCAGTGATCACTGGAGTTCAACCGAGTCTGATATGAGATAGTGACTCACTGAAGATAATGATGGATGTGTCGCTGGATTTCATGGATTAGTTGGAGTTACACATTAACACTGTTGGATGCCGACCGGCTCAGTGGTGTAGGTGTTAAGTGTTCACTTGCAAGAGCGATATGTCTTGAGTTCAAATCTCGCGTGAGGGGATCGTGGACGTTCACCGTCCAGTCCCTCTAGGTTTTCCATGGTAGTCTAGCTTCGATTGACTCATGAACTAGTCAGTCCTGCTTGGTGGTAAGAGATTTTAGGATGTTCATGTCATCAAGCAACTTATGTGTCATCAATACCGTCCTGGTCAACATATTTATGTGGAGTCTGCTCTTTAAACCAATAGGCTTCCCTGTTTGAATCCTAAGGTTTTGTTATATTTCAAACTTTTGTGGTGTAAAATTTAAAACGTTTTGCTGCCATTTATTCAGTTGATGTCTGATTACAATAAAACCGATCAAATGTAATTAATGTTGGCTAACCTGACCATCAAATATAAGTGAACTTCAATGTAAAAGGTTTAAGATGATTGTTGAACAACAACCAATGGAAACCGTGAATCTCAGTACGGTTTTTTGTCATAGTATGAGACCCCTCAGCGATACAAATATACGATCCAGGGTGACCCTGCGGTGTAGTGAATCGACTGCACTTATAAATTGTATCTCAGCTCACTAGTTTGAAGACTAAGCACTTTCTACGATAGTTCTCTGATAGTCCTGTGTTGGAACCTTCTTGAAGTCACAGATATCCACTTTTGATGAGTACAATGTTTTCGTACTTCATACATGTTCTTTCTAGACAGTTTTATTAAGACAATATATTTATCATAATTTCTGAAGAACTGCTTGTACATCGAAACGATCAAGTTTGATAGCAATTGGTGATTCTGTGGTAAGTAATATTACTGCAGGTTTTCAATAATTATATACAGTAAGTATTGATATTAATATATCATGAAACTCTCAATTTAGCTGATTAAGAACACAGGTGATTCGAATCCACATCAACTGGTTCGTAGTCAGAATGATGACTAGTTGACTTTTCACGTCAAAGTAACTGAAAATTTTGTCTCGATTGTCATGTAAGACTACCAGAATGTTATGAATTTAAAAAACAAAAACAGCCGTAAGCTAATTTGTTGTGGTCTTATGTCCGGCTTATTATCACGCGAATTATCCACCAATCGAAATACAACTTGTTTAATCTTAACACTGTCAAATCAATGACGTTCAAATTGTATGAGCAGTCTAGCGTCCTTTTTGGTCCCTTGTACGCCCAGCCCTTCCAACTGAGTCCAGAACACCTATTGCAGCTTCTGCTATGTGAATCATTTATTTCAAGCATACTCGGTTCATGTACCAGATAGACAGACCACACCGCACCATAAAATAGAAAATAATATTTGTACAAGATCAAGCCAAATGTGTCTGTGGACGTAGGAGACAAAAATCAATAAACTGAGTATAATTTAGGTACAGTAAATCGTATAATATCAATCCATAGGTCAAAATGAAGCTTATAATAAGATGAATATAGATATACACAATCTAGTTACTCCATAGTTATATAATAAGAATATACATAGAATAATCGTCCGTTAATAGGTCTTGAGAGTTACCTGTACTTACGTCTTCACTAGAATATAACAATCTTTACCTCTTAAGCTTATTTTTTTTAAACGTTATGATGTTGTTGTTGTCTTCTTTATCTTCATAGGAATTTCACCAACTATTACATGTTCACAAACTCGATCACTTTGTGGTGAACATGCATCATGTAGAAATACTGATAATGGTGTCACATGTACATGTGATCCAATGTGGAAAGATTTAAATCCAAGTGATCCAGGGAAAAATTGTACACGTACGTTTTAGAATTATTTTTTCATAATACAATGAAATTAGAAACTTTTTGTATAGAATACATATTTTGTTTTTAAAGCCATTAATTTCCTGTACTGTTGTATTGTATTTATAGCTTGGTATTTAGAAAACAAATATTCTGATTGTGATACTTTGCATTGTGTGAGCTATAAGTTACAATAGTTTCATAGTGGTTTGATGTCAGTCACTTTAACTGAAGAACATATGAAACTTAAAACAATTGTCGACCAACACCAAGATCAGAATTTTCAATACAAATGTCAAGATAGTTTTACTGTATGGGGGGGGAAACCTGGAGAATTACGAAAGCTATTATCTAGAAGATACAGGTGTTCATTAACAGTCGTCTACACAAAATACTTCAGATCCGTTGACCAGACACTATCAGCAACAACCTACTGTGGGAAACTACAAACCAGATTCCAGTGGAGGAAGAAATAAAGAAGAAGCGCTGAAAGTGGATAGGACACACTGAGGAAATCACCCAATTGTGACACAAGACAAGCCCCCTTATTGAATCCTGTAGGCCAAAGGAGGAGAGGAACACCAAAGAACACATTACGTCTAGAAATGAAGACAGACATGGGAAGAACGAACAGCGATTGCATCAAATTAGAAATGGATGCTCAGGACAGAGTGGGTTGGAGAATGCTGTTCGGTGGCCTATACTCTATTGGGAGTAACATGCGTAACTAAGTTAGTCTTTAACGATAAATCTTATGTAACTGGTAGATAGATACATCTTAACAAAAAAGTGGCTTCATTTGTAAAAAAACGCAAAAGTACTGAAAGAATAGTAGTTCAAAGAGTATCATGCTAAAAAACATTTCTACAATAAAATACATTTCTGTTCTTCACATTACTTCTTCGTCTGCACGAATGGGATACTAATTTTCCTCTCACAGCCTATTATACAGGACTTCAATACAACTCAGATTAAGAACACATGACTAGCCTGACTGGAATATCAGTATATTTGCACATCAATAACCGATAACAATCACAATAATAATAAGGGTAAGAGAATATATAACTCATCTAGTACCCATCAGACTTTCTACAAGTCTGGCTAAGCAAACAACAAATCATTATTTTTTTCGCCCACATATCATTAAGGTTAAGGTTTTCGTCATGAGCTAACATCAACTATGGTGCAATGGTTTGTAACCTTTTTGTGTACAAATTCGGGAGACTTGGGATTGAAATTAAAAGTAAGAATTACAATGTAAGAAAACTATCTAACTTCATAAAGTACTCTCGATTTCTCATTCAAATATATCAAGTACTTTAAAATACATTTTGTCTTAGGATCAGGTATGTTTTATAGTTAAGCTTAGGAATCATCTTAAATTCACTTTTGAGTTGCATAATAGATATTTTCTTTAGTTTCAAGCATTTCAAGGACTAAATTGTACCAATATTTACTTCATTGATAATCATATACAAGTTATCTATTACTTTACCTCAAATTTTGAGCAAAACACACAATTCTGATTGATTAACTCAGAGCTGACAGTATATTCGACTTTAATCGCCTCTAATTTCAACTATGAAACATAATCAATATTACATACAAGTGGGAGAGAAAGAGAGAGAGCTTTCAGTTGATGAACTTGATTAGGCCATTTTATTCGTTATTTTCAATATTTATTGGGGGAAAACGTAACTGCAACATAAAACGTTATATGGAAACATACACCCAGAGAACATTTAATATTCACTATCATTAGACAAAAATAGATCAGTGTCATTCCAAAACTTTCGTGTAATTTGCGCACACCAAATTGATCTGTAACATTGATCAAGATCAATGTAAATGAAGAAGATATAAATGAGCGACTTATTTGTCAGTCAGTCAGTCAGTGATCTTGAGTGCTATTAAAGGTATAAGGCAAGTCATCACTTCCCGGTTGCCCACACTGTGGAAGGGTTCTTCTAGAGGTACCTGAAAAGAAAATTGGATTGGGAGTGATCCTAATGACCTGAGAGAGTGACCGCAGTGCTCAAGGGACAACTGCTTGAGGTCGGTCACACACGACCTTTTTGTGAGTAAAGTTCGTGTTAACTCCGTACTTGTTGGGACCTTAGCGCCGGAGACGGATATCCGTGGGACAAGGTGAGGTGTGCATTTTTATAGTCCGCTTTTTCTAACCCCACCGCTCCCTGTGGGAGTGCAGCATCGTTGTTATGCTGGTTGTCCGAAGGAAACACCTTATTCTCATCACATCTCTGTACAGTCAGCAGTACGACTTCGCCTTCAGACCTTGGGTTTGCTGCTTTTAGTCTTACCTCTCTTCAACCAACCTGTCTGACATGGTAGGACCTTGAGGAACGATTGTTCCAGCCAGTATAGTTCGATTGGTTCATCACGATAGACAAGCTAGACCACCGCGCCATGGTAGCAGCAACGGTCGGGGACTTATTTGTATCCCTTTAGTAATTCATTTACCGGCTACAAATTGGTTTACTTGATTTTATGTCACAAACTTAGTGTAAGAGTTAATGATACTGCTCAGTTTACTCAAATAAAATTCAATAGAATGAATTCGAACCTGAGATTTAGTAATTAAAAACTGAGCATCTTAATCTGTGATCTGCTAATCCATATGTACAGTGATTTATTGCAAAGTCAGCTATAGTGAACTATTAATGAACCCTAACCAAGTAATTTTAATATATTTAACAAGATTTATATTAAGTTTAGAATAATTATTGAATTATATGATCTTGCAACATTATTTATCGCTCAAAAAATATCTCGGGTGAGACTATAATTTATGGACGACCTTTGAATGACCTTATAGTGAATGTGAAACTGTTTACCTACCATCTATAACTAACCCCCCCCCTAAATGATGGTTATTAACCAATGTGAGGAATTAGAATTATCATTCACAGTTGATAGTTAAGGTTACATATTAGATTTAAGATTTTCATCACGCACTGACATCATCTAAACTGCTAAAACTCTATTTAACTCAATAGATAAATGAAATCCATGTCAAAATCTGAGACCTTGATCGATAGCATTCGATCAGCACTAAGAAGAACTTGACACGCATGACATTGATCACCACCCAGTGATCAATCGATTGAGATTATGTCTCAGTTCTACAGGAGGTTGGTCGCAGCCCGAATAGCTCAATGGTATCGAGTCTGACTGTGAAGCTGAGTGACACGGTCAGGGAGCACCAGTTCCCTCAAGATTATAGGTACACCTTGCTAACAAGTGCCAAGTAGCGCGAAACCCGGATCCAGGGTTTCCTGTTGACCACCTCCAACTACCACCTTATCTCAACATAGTGTACGCAGTGTCCAGCCACCTAGACTAGTGGCCACATTGCAACTTGATCGATAGCATTCGATCTTGACGCGCATAACATTGATCACCATCCAGTGATCAATCAATTGTGAAAATCTAAGACCTATTATCTTATAGGTTTACGATTACTTTATTTAATAAACTAATAAGTTTTTCTCTTTTTTCTTTTGTTTTTTTCTTCACCTTCATGAAGTACATCCTGGAACAATTGCATTAATTGTATTTGCTGCTATTCTATTAACTATTGCTATTATAGCATTAATCTATTTTATAATTCGAACTGAATCTATTAAACAATTACGATTAAAACAAATGACTTAATTGATATTAGATAATGTTTATATTTATTATAATACAATTCATATTTATATATATTATATTATTATTATTAACTTTATTCAATATTATATTTTTGGTACAATATGGAATTCTCAGCACAAAGTACTTCAACAAGTTTCCGTTTCTTACTTCTTCGTCCTTCCTGACGATAAATATTGAGTGATCGCCGGTTAGAAGTTAGCAGCCCAGTCAATCGACATTTGGATAATGTACATTCTTCTCGCTGCATACTGCCAGCAACCACGATATCTCTAATTAGGCCTTCTATAACCTTTACAGCGAAAGGTCTTATATATCACATAGTTCTGATAATCTTCGTCTTCTTATTACATTATCGAAAGGTCTTACACTTTTCAGAAACGCACCTGAATAGATTGTGCGATTAATAAGCATAATGATGTATTAAAACAAACGAAATTAGATAACTTGTTGAAATATCTAGATGACAGGAACAGGTATCCCAGATGTTTAAACAGGCCGCCAATTCAGTCACACGCTCCTGTGTTTTCTGTATTTTTAAAACCAAATTCATTATATTTTATTTATATACTTCTTTTTCTTTTGTTAACATATTACAGATCAATTTTAATATCAGAAGGGGTTTGTTTGTGGAGATTTTAGTCAATTCAGTAGTTGAAGCTAGACCATCATCGAAAACCTCGAAGCATTGGACGGTAGTTTCGTCCTATTGAGGAAATCCTCACCAGTGCATATCCATGATCCCGCCACGCGAGATTCGAACTCAGGACATGTCGCTCTCGCAAGTGAACGATTAACGCTTACATCGCATCTTGCGGTTTTAATTTCTAACTACAACTAATCCTTGAAATTGAGCGACATATCCATCATTGTGTTTAGTGAGTTACTATCTCACAACAGACCTGGTTGAACTCCACTGGTTACTGCTTCTCACTAAAACTCCAGGAAATACCTCTTGAAGCCAGTCATTGGTGAGTATTTGGATACGCACTTCCGAGAGGTCCCACAATAGAACGAAACGACCCTCCAGTTCTTCCAGGTTTTTCGTGGTGGTCTAGCTTCAATTAACTCATGATCTCAACTATTGAGAAGATCGGTTTTAGTTATATAATCAATGAAAACTAGGAATTACTGGACATTCGTTTCCTTTTAGTATTGTCATTTCTTAATGGTGTATATTTTTAGTGGTTAGATATGTGACTCCAGTTATACTGTATGATGATTGCTATGGAGACATACATGCCGTTAATCCTGGTATATAATTGTCTACTTAACACACGTTAGTGAATAATGGAATAATAATAAGTCAAATATGGGAATGGATTTCAAATAAGAATATTTCATACAACTGATGATTGGAGAGACAAAACCGAAAAAGAGAAGGGAAAAGAGGTACGCGAATCGAAATGACGAGCGGTGAAGAAGACAAATGAGCTAACTCGATTTAACCAAACGTGAATCGATATTTATAGTCAAACAAAAATAGGTTACAGATATGTGATGAGTTGGGTAAGAGACTAACACACACCCATATATAAACAATTAAGTTTAGTTAGCTAATAATGGACAAGTTCAAAATATAACTCAAGAAAAATGAATAAACTTATCTGCCTGGAAGCTAGAATAACCCATGTGGGTGTGACTTAGTACCGGCCACTACATACTCGTGTCCCTCTGCCCACCGGGAATCGAACCAAGAACCTTCAGGTTCCGCAATTATTGTTTAACATTCTGACTTTTAACTCCGCATCCACCAGTTTATAATCCTGACTGTAATCGATTCCCAATAACACACAGCTTTTGTTTAATCTCGTTGGTTAGTAATTGTACAATTAATGACATAGTTAAACTCCATTAGTCACACCTCGATAGACTTGATTACCAGTTACATGATGATTAGGATCAATGGACTAACATTCATTCCACATTTATGAAACACCAGTAATTTTATAGTAACCGTTCTATGATATTAATTTTATGAACTGATGCAGAATGTTATTGGACAAAAGCCTTAATCTCATGTAAAGCAATTTGCATATTAAAAACAGACTTGTATGCGTTATCCGTCAACAAACACTAAAAATCGCTGCCCTAATAAGAGAAATGATGATTCGGTTTGCAGACAACTGCCAATGATTTCATGAACAGCATAATGTTCCTTTAGGGGAACACATTAACTGCTTTGAAAAGACTGTTCTGTTAATCAGATGTTTAGGGTAATATCCCTAGGCATTGAACAAACGCAGACATTTATTTGAGAAAAATGACTATAAATAGATAAAGGGTAATAAAATATACTGTGTGTATATTAAAATTCCTAATTCTTCCAAAAGTAATCTTTAATTTTTTTGGTAGTTACATTGGCTGAAGTTAGACTTGTACAGTATCGGGTTCCAACTCAGTGGTCTGGAAAGTTGGAGTTAGCACGTGGTAGCAAGGGTCCTGGTTTCGGTCATCAGCTACGGGACCGTGAATGTGCACTAATAAGATGTTTATTTAGTAACCCCACGCTATCAGTGGTTGCCTAACTTAGATGGGCTTACGATATCAGCTTCATTCTCAAAGCTTCTCCTGTCTTCTGCTCCATAAAATCGGTTTCATAGAAAAAAGCAGGTTATCATTTCTTTTGGGGCAAAATTACCCCGACAAAAATAATAGTACACTTCACCAACACTAAACGAGCTGGAAAAAGAATTATCAATCACGAGGTTTCGAAGATTATCCATTTTTGGTCAGGTTACGAACAAATATAAGTTAAACAAATACTGCAAACCTAGAAACACAGAATAACCGTTTTTCATAGCATCTAACTTCTCAGCAGTGCGTCTACAAACTAACCACCAAGAATTGAATGCGAACCCTAATAGTTTGACTGTAGTTCAAGTTACATACAAGACATTATATATCAAAATATATCTGAAGTAATCTTAGTGACTTTAAATAATTTCAATTCCTCCCCTAGCAGACTGGTTTGAGCTTTTTCAAGATAAAAATCAGAATTAATATTATCAAAGAGCGTAGAAAGTTTTGAATATATGTCTATTTTAAGAAGTTATTCAATCATCTTGGTATAGTGAATAAATAAAAGCCATAAAATGTTATGCTTATATTATTGCTAATTGAAATTCAATGAATAGTTGAAACCTTTATCTACAATCAAAGGTATGCTAATCACTTACTTAATCATAAAAGGAATAGTGTTGTATATGCTAATTATGTTGACAGATATAAGTAGTATGTAGTACCAATAAGAAGTGGAATACCTACCAGTAGAAATTTGAGAAGATTCAATTGAAGAGAACAGAAAAGGAAACAAATAAGAATTGAAATAATAATCAAATTTGTTGAGTGAAAAAGTATGTACAGGACAAATGAAAGATGCCTAAATGACTTACTTAATGTATGATTTTCGTATTTTTACTAAATCACTATATGATTTTACTTTAAAGAATAAATTAGTCTTTCCCACCTCAGTTTTTGTCCACTACAATAGTACATATAACAACTTAAATTATCAAATAAACAAAGATGGATAGTGGCTAGCAGTAGAATCCAGGACTAGCGTTTCGTCCTATTTGGGACTCGTCAGCTGGATGTACCTGCATCTCAGAGTTGATATTCACTCTAGAACTCAGACCTAGTACCAGTCGATTTTGTTATTTGTGATTATATACATTCGATTTTCCCCACTCATGTTCTTGCTCACTACAGTAATACTGACTACTTATCCAGAGTGTTGATCATATTGTGTTTTTTTTATGTACTTTATTATTTTTTGTTGCTGTTTACCTTTAGTTTATCTTCTCATTACCATTAACGAAAAATACATTTGAAGACATTTAAGTATATTTATTAAGATTTAATTAATGATAAGTAAACGAAGTACACTCATTATGGTAATAAATAAGAAAGATGAATTCAACAAATAGTTCGCCAAAAACAGAAAATTGTAAGTATTGAAATGTTCATATACAAATCAAATCTTTTAAGATTACCGCCGATCTTAATCCCAAATAAAAGAGGAAGGTTGATCATAGGGTTGAAAACATCATTCTATAGATACAAAATCTTGTTAAAAATTAAACGCTAACTCAATAAAACAAAATAAGATGAATTATATACATATCAGATCAATCATAATTATAATAAGATAGGGAAAGTATAAAATAACCATTTACATAGCTTCAATTACTGTCACTGATTTAATTGATCTTTCTTTTCTTTTACGAAAACAAATATATGCTAGAATAACTATGATTAATAAACTAACACTAAATATGATCAATATCACTATACCTAAGTATACTGTATGAAAAGAGAGAAAAAAAAAAAGAAGAGGAAAGTAGAATACAATTAATGAGAGTTAATAAAGTTTATTTTTAATTCTTTAGCATAAAAACTCATTTCTCTGTGAGTTTTTCAATCTCATACTGATGAATCAGTCTCCATTGTGGTAGAGAAATCATTATAATGTCCAACTTCATAAATGTGAAGTATCTCTAAACAAATACACTTTTAATTATTGATGAATGTACATTATCTCCAATTGTCTGTTCGAAACCATTGCTCAACAGTACAGATTGTTTGATTAAAATTGTAACGATGTAAACTATTTTCATTTCAACCTGAGGACAAGAATGAATATGTAAATACTACCCATTTTAACACCTTTTATTAGTTATTACATATTTTAGAAGTATCTGATCTCCAATTGGTTTGGAATAATATTTTGATAATTGTCAACAGTTGGAAAACTCCAGAAGATCTCACTTTGCAGGTTAGCTGTGTGAGTTATCTCCCGATATCATAAACAGATATCTCCCTTTGGATGTATTTAGGTGTCTGCACTGTTACCAATTTACGATGTCAATCCTTTTGCAACTTATCAGGAGAAGAACTCTGATACAATGTATTTGGAACTAAAAGTATCTGAAAAAATTTGATGAAGGAAAATGGATTCACTGATCAAGATCAAGATTATAGCATTCCCACCGATTGCCAAA